ATCAACAAAACCTATAATTAAAACCAGATTTTATAAATCTATAATGAATACTAGATTTTTTCATAAACCTTGTTTTATGAAGTGCTTGTAATAATTGCAAACATATCCTCAAAGAGACAAAGTTTTGTTTGCTAATAGAATGAGGCAATATATAGCTGCTCATGAGTTTGGTTCTCATGTCTACTAGTGGCTCTTTAATAGTGTCTTAAATAAGTAAATCTTTTATCCCTCTTCTCTTCATACAATTTGTGATATTAACATCTGCTGTTAAAGCAAAATGTTTTGCTTGTAAATTCTTTTCCAATTCTACTCTTGTCTCATCTGTAGTATCTGATTTTCCACTTAGAACTGAGTGCCTATTGAGTGATCTATGGTTTCTGCTATTATCTATAAACTGAATTATCACAAAGCAATAAATGCACATCATTAACAGACTCTTGTTCTCTCTAATGTATACTGGTCTCATTCCCAAGTTGAAAATTATGGTATTTCTGGATTCATTTTTGAACTGATTCAGTCTTTCTTACCAAATCATGAAATTGTCATGAATGGTACTGTTCTAGATCTTTTTACATTAATGCAGGCGTTGAATACACTGCCCCCCCCCACCCCCAGAGCTCTATACTTGAACATATATTGTTTCTCATTTTCATCAACAACCTTCCTGATGTCATTCATTCTCAATTCTGTATCTATGCTGAAGACACAACTATTTACTCCTGTCTTAATATTAAATCAAATCAGTTTGATATGGTCAAATTGGTAGCTGATCTAAAAAAAATATCTACAATTTCTGGGGCAAGGAATGGTTTGTTAATTTTAATGCCTCCAAAACAAAATTGCTTGCATTTAATCATCTGAGAGAAGTTTATACCTTCCAACAGCATGGCTGATAGTAAGCTACAGAAGAGGTGCTTGTTGCACTTTCTTGAACTTACATTTTCCATTGACATGAAGTTGAAAGATTGTATCAGTTGCTAGGTCTGCTGCTAGGAAATTTAGTTCAGTCTGTTGTGATGGACAATTTTTCTTACCAGAAGCTATTTTACATATTTATAAGTTTACCATTTGTCTTGTTTTGAATATTGCAACCATGTCTGCTCTGGTGCACCTGCTATATGTTTAGAGATTCTTGATAAAATACAAAGGATCTGCAATCTTATTGGTCCTGACCTGACACCTCACCTTCAATGAATTTCCAACTGCTATAACGTAGTTTGCCTATGCCTTTTCTATAAATACTTTCATGGTAATTGTTCAGATGAACTTTATAAATTTAAGTGCAGTACTCGATTGGTGGCAAGATCTCATCATTTTACAGTTGAAATGGTGAGAGATGGAACCATAAGTTCTATGTTAATAGTTTCTTCTTTTGCACTTCTTGCTTGTGGAACTTTCTTTTGGCTTCTTGATTACCAGTTAAATTTGGTCTTCAAAAGTTTAAATGCAATATCAATCATTATTTTCCATTTTCTGTACTGTTCTTTTATAGTTCTCTTTTCTAAATGTGTTCTTTTTTCTCATATTTTCTCACACTCTGTAACCACTTGTTTCTTAGTGTCTTTATTGCCTTGCTTGGGGCAATTTTTTTTTATCAAATTCACCCCATGCAAGGCAGTAAAACCATTAAGACACAAATGGTTACTGAGTGTGAAAGAATAAGAAAAAAGAGAAACATTATTAAGGAGTGAGAACAATAAAAGAGTAATCAAGAAGATAGTAGAAAGTGATTGACATTGCATTTAAATTTTTGAAGATCAAAGTTGACTGAAAAGCATGGAGTGAGAAGAGAGTTCCACAAGTGAGAAGTGTGAGAAAAGAAACTATTAACATAGGATTTACAGTTGCATCTAGCTAATTCAACTCTGAATTGATGAGACCTTGCTGCCAATCTAGTACTGCAATTAAATTCATAATGTCTAGGTGCCATAGTGAAGAGCTCATCTAAACATTTACCATGTAATTATTTATAGAAAAGTCACAGGGAAGCTATGTTACAGAAGTGAGAAAATGACTGAAGCCAAGACGCCAAGAATTGGTTAAAAAAAAAACAAACTATAATACCTGATTGTTCTTAGGAACAAATAATTAATCTTAGATTTTAATTTTAATTTCTATAATTATTGCTGGATTTTATGGTAGCCATGATTGGGTTAATAGTTATATTATTTATATGAACTTGAAGGAGAATTTATCTAACTTTTGACAAAAGGATTAACTTGGTATTGTATGCAACAATGAAAATATATGCCTCAAGGCTACAATGTTACATAAACAGGAACATTAGCATTCATATTGTGTTAAAAGATAAGACAACTGTTTCCTCTCATTGAAATTCTTCAGCTCTCCCCACAAAAGAGTTTACATCCGCTTTTCTCAAATGCTTGTTTGGAAAATATTTACTGGGATTGAGACAGACAGATAAATATAATAGGAGAGGAAGAGTTAAATCATATGTATATGTCATGAATAACATCTCAATTCAAAATGACCTCAGATCAGTTGTTAACTTGAGCAAGAAGAGGCTTGATAATTTTAATGCCTCCAAAACAAACTCCTATCTTAATCATCATAGAGAACCTTTTTTTTTAACATTTCATCAGTATGGTTGATGATAACTTCCAGGAGAGCAACTTGTTGTGCCTTCTTGGTCTCGCATTTTCCACTGACATGAAGTTGAATGATTATCTTCAATCAATTACAAGGTTTGCTCCCAGGAAAGTTGGTTCCAGGCAGTCTCTCTCATCAGAATCTGTCTTGCACATTTATAAATCTACCAGTTGTCCTTGCATTCTTTATGATATTTCTAAATGAAGATTCATTTTGCTTATAATTGACGTGCATTTGGATTTTGTAGATATTTGTGTATTCAGTATTATTATTACTAAATTTGGAAAGAAAGAGTCTAATCTGGTGGTCAATGAGGTGATTATAAAAACCATTGTTAACTAGTGTCTGTTTTGCATTGTTGAAGTCTTTATGGAAAAGCAGATGAGAGGAAAAAGTAAAAATAAAATCATTCTTGATAATGGCTAAAACTATAGCCAAAAGTGTTCAGAATTATAGAACATATCCAAATGTTTCTACACATTCTGTGTCCAGAAAAGAAAACACTTGTTCGAACACAAGAAAAATTAAATAAAAAAGCTTAATTTCAGTACCTTGTCTGTTGTCTTTAATGAAACATGTATAAAAGAGGATTTGCTGCCTAAATACATTATATATATATATATATATATATATATATATATATATATATATATATATATATATATATATGCACTTTTGTTGCAGAAATATCTATGTTCGAATGTAATAACCTATAATAAAGAATTATAGATCTACTTTTGTATTGAGCTCTATTTTAAATTAATGTTATGAAAATTTGAATTTATATTTGATTCGTTCTTATTCCATTTGGATACAGTGTAACCTGGATATAAGAGAGTTGTCAGGACCGGAGAAAAGGTCTCTTTATATCCGGGTTTATCTTATATCCGGGTTTGGTCTAATTTATATACATTAACACAGGCTCTAATTTCCGGGACCAGAGAAAATTTCTCTTATATCCGGGTTTCTCTTATATCCGGGTTACATGTGCGTGTGTATATGAGAGAGAGATAAAGATATATATTTTTATATATGAAGAACAATATTGTGGAAAATGTATGACAAAGTGAAAAAGTTTTCTTGTGACACGTTTTGTTCATCAAAAAAAAAAAAATTCTAATGAGTAGTCGTACCAATATAACAAATTTAGTTAAATGACGTCCTGATGAAGGACGAAACGTGTAACAAATAAACTTTTTCCACTTTGTACATATATATATATATATATATATATATATATATATATATATATATATATATATATAGATATAGATAGATAGTAGGCCACTGGTTTCACAAGTAATTTATTTCAATTCCAGACAACAAACTACATGTTTTAGTTTTCGCCTTCAAGTGTAATCCCCCCTCGAGTCTAATGCATTTTACCATCATTCTCTGCCACACTTCGATGCTGGAAGGATTATTCATGGATGTCCCAAAGCTCCGTCGTTACAGCCCTGTTGATGGCCTCAACACCTTCAAAACGAGTCCCCTTGATGATTCTCTTGATCTTGGAGAAAAGAAAAAAAAAAGTCACACGAAGCAAGATCAGATGAATACCTAAGTGTAAATGAAAGTAATGTGAAGAAGCAAGGGAGATTACTCTAAAAAGACTTGTCTGATTACTTTCCTTGTCGGTAATACACATCTTTCGTCAATGTAAGTAAGTCTTTTATTCATTTGGAAGGAAGAGTAACGACGTCCTAATTACAAAACAGTTTATATTTTTAAAGCATCCGCCAATGGTTGACGCTGCTCATTAGTAAAAGAAAAAGACGTGTTTCATTTTTTTTTTTTTGACGTAGAAGAGGAAAAATGAATATTGTCTATTTTCTTACGATTGTAAACATTATTATCAGTGACGGTTTTTAAAGGAGATAAACCGAAACTCAAATCTTTTTACTTCCTCGTGTATTTTGGACTCGAATTTTGACAATTTTTTGGCTAATGTGAAAACAATACTGATACGAACTGTAAGTAAACCCGAGCGAATTTCGTACAAACTTTGTTAATTAGTCAAGTGTGTTCGCACTTCCCTTAGTATTTTTAATTTTAAGAACGTGACATTGACATAGTTCCCAGTTTTTTTGTGTATATTTTTAATAAACTAAGAACAAAAATGTGGTACGTCTCTGAATGAATCATGAGTTGTACAGTTGCATTCATTCTTTTTTTTTTTTCAGTCAAAAGATTTTGCAATAATTTTTAAAAGATTTAAAATTTTAATGATTGGTTTTCAAAGTTTTCTTAATTCATAACTAACTATTTTTATTTCTCATTTTTGGTTTTACTTTTTTATTCTGTTGTAATTAAATCTCTACATTAAAAAAAAAAAAGTAAGAAAAATTTTTTCGTCATCTTTTTTTAGGTAAATTACTTCTTGAAACAACATGTGGCACCTGAAACTAACTTCTTATACAGTTTTAAGCATTATTATCTCGTTAGCCGACGGAAAATATTCCTTTCCTTTGAATTCTACTCGACCATCGCGCCAACCTCATATTATTTTCATTGTTGCTGATGATTTGGGTAAGTTCGTTTTTGTTTTTAATATATTTTCCTTTTGTTTTTCTTCAACTAATAATGTTTATTGAGAGAGAGAAGCACACTAACCAATATACAAATCTACAAAAAAGTAAAAAAACAAAACAAAACAATATACCAATCATGTGGCCGGTCCAGTGTTAAACAAGTACACATGCATCACAACCAAATGTGCTTGACATGTTAAAAGTAAAAGCGGCGCATAATTTTGCAAGTGGGCCCAGTTAAAAAAAATAGCTTTAGGTTTAAAAACAGTAATAGCTACTCACCGTCTGCTCACACGGTCTCTGTTTATATTAAAAAGACAAAAAACAACCAAAAAAAAAAAAAACCAAAAACAAATACAATCGTAATATAACGGACTTGCAGATAATGCCACGCACAGTGACAAATTATCAAGGCTAGCGAACTTTCACACAGTTATCGAGGTAACCGGGACCCAAGAAAAATTGTCAATATCTCTGATACGGTAGATTTCAGCCAATTTTTAATGCTATTTTTGGAATAATCAGGCGATTTTACACTTAGAATTTTTTTTTTTCTAAATTTGTCACTTGGGCATTATCTGCAAATTTACTGACAGATGAGTGCTTTGATCCAAAAAAAAAAAAAAATGGTTGACAAGGTAGTATTTTTACAGAATAGTAAATTTAAAATTCTAAACTTTGTTGTTAACAGCAGTTGACAACATTGAAATGTTGTTAACTGCTCTGTGGAACTGTCTCCCAAATGGACATTTTCCCTGATCGCTACAATTTTAACCTGTTTGGGGCTAGGATTAAAAAAACCCTTACCCTCCACTCCTATACACACAAATGCCCTCCAAATGTAACCCTCTACCTCGAGTGAACCAAGGCCTTGTAAAGGGTGGACCTTGCTGTGGAAAAAAAAACAACAACAAAAAACAGCAGATGACCTAACAACATTGACACTAAATTTAAATGTCAATCTGAAAAAAATTAAAAATGAAAAAATAATTTAAGTCTAAAATTTGTGGAATCTGAATTAAGGAAAATGTGCTTCTGAGTTTTTAAAGGATTTATTTTATTATCTCCTAATGTAACTGGAGAGTTTGCAGTGATAATTGATAATTAAAATCTAAGATCTAAATGTGTAAAGTTGTCAATGGTGTGTTTTAAAAAAACAAAATTAAATCTCTAAAATAATATTTAATATGTAGGCATAGAAATTGTGGTGGTTGAGACGGTGAAAATTTGGCCTTGTAAAAATATTTAACTTGTCTAAGGAAACAGAAAAGAAGAAAACAGTGTAAATCCAAAATATTTATATTCCACAAATTATCTTAGTTGTTTTACAGTTTTACTTTTTTGTTTTTTCTGTTTCTTATGAAGACAGTCAGTTATGTGCCATGCTTGATACAAGCTTAGGCGATCATGTATTTTTCAATACATGACTGACAAGGATTCCATAATGGATTCAACTGGAATTCGAACTCGGCTCTCTGATTCCTCAATCCGAGCTGCTATCTATTAATCCACTGTGCCTCCTTATGAAGACAGTTTTTGTAACTAGACTAGAAATGGGAAAATTTCTTACTCTAGACCAGTGGTTCCCAACCTATTTTGCCCCACTTTGGTATTTCTAAAAATCTGACGCTCCCCTGTAATGTTTAATTCTTACATATTTAAAATTTTACTGCAATTTACGTGAAGGAAGCTTAAAAGGCCATTAACTTAGCCTCTAAAAAAGCCTCCAAAGACCATGGCGTCCATGAAAGAGAAAAATAGCTGGCTGGGAATAAATAGCTTTTTATAAAGAAACGAAAAATAATATGCAAATAAAACATAGATAAAAATAGATAAGAGTTTTCATAATGCATCATAAAAAGATGACCAGAAAAGTCGTCCTTCTGAATTTCTGGGATGAGGAGTTATCATTATTTACAATATTTACATGTGAAAAGATGGCCAGGAAAAAGTCCTTAACACAAATACATGGTAGTAGCCTCTTTCTAGATATAAATATTAAGTGGGGGAAAGGGTATACTTTAAAAAAATTTTTTTTTTTTTTTTTTTTTTTCAAAACAACTGTCAAAGCAGAGTGGAATACTAAAACTCATAATAAAATCTAAAAACTATGAAATATTGGATATCCATCCACAATTTATCTATAAGTAAAAATGATGATGTACTGCTGAATATATTGGCAGAACTAAACAGAGATTGAAAACTAGGATTGATTAATATGTGTCAGTAACAATCTGTTGAGTGCAGTGTGAAAATGAGTATATGCTTGTGAATACTTCTGGTTCTGTGATTACAGAACACTTAATAAGTAATTTGATTTGTGCTTCATCCTTCTACAGAGGTTTCTTTTACCATTATCAACAAAGCACATTCAAATTACTATCTAAAAATTCTTAAGATGACCAAAATATCTCTAAAAGCATAGGTATATTCATAATCACTAAGCCATAAACCATCTTTCAACCAAACAACCAACCAGAAAACTTTTACAGATATAAGAAAAAAAATAAACCAACAACAAGGAAACCGGAATTTCACCATTCTCTAAAAAGAGACTTATATTAATAATCACAAGGCCACAAAGCCATATTTTGACCAAACAATTGGGAGGCTTTCACAACCAGGATATAAAGCTGCAAGCCAATCTGAATTAAAAACCAGACTTAATAGATAATTTTGTTCATTTTTCAATGCTGCTGTCATTGTGACATAACCAGAGCTGAAATGCAACCAACTGGTGAACTCTGATAGATACACTGTCCACATTTGAAAACTTACACCCTTTTTTTCTCCGCCTTTTAAGCAGTCTGTTGATGCATTTGAAAATGTACATATTTTTCTTCATCCACATTGTTAAGCAGATGACTACTACATTTGGATACAACATATGTACATATATATTTACTTTCTCCCGGATTTTTTCTCTCTCTCTCTCTCTCTGTATAATTGTGTATCTTAAGGGATAACAGATTTATCTGACTAATTACTCAAGATAGCAGCCTTGATTTTGACTCACTTGAAACTCCAGGATCATTTCATTAACTCTGGTCTTTTAATCTCAAGTTTATTTTAAAACTTTATCTTTGGTCAACAAATTTTATTAAGAACCTCAAAGTCTTCCTTAACTAAAGTTACTATTAAAAAAAAATAAATACATATATATTTCTTCGTGGCAATCTACAACTAGCAGAAGAGGCAAGTCTTTTTATGATTTCTCTCTATATCTCTGAGATGAGGTATTATGATTATTTATATTATTTATACTATTTGGACTGTTATCCTCATCTTCATTGCCATATTCACAACATTTTGACCGTTGTACACCAAGCTACCTCACATATACAGTCTCCCAAAGATTCACAAAAATGGTATTCTACTCAGGCTGATTGTTAGCTGCCGAGGCTCTGTCTGCTACCCTCTGAGTTGCTTCCTAGTAGATATAATTGACCCATTAATTGGAAAGTCAACATCATATGTCCAGAACTCCACCTACTTTGTGAAAATAATCAAAGATGCTCCATCCAATTCAACCAGATGTGAGTCTAGATGTGGCAATTTTGTTCACCAAGGTACCCATGGAGGAGGCACTCCCAGTAGTCAGGGACAGACTGGCCTCAGACTCCTCCCTAGAATGGAACTGTATGCCAATAGATAACCTGATGGAGATGCTGACTTTCTGTATGCAAACAACATACTTTGGAATGGAATCAGACATGCATCAACGGTATAAGGGCTTAGCAATGGGCTTGCCATTATCTTCAGAAAGAGAAAACATATATATGGAATACTTTGAGTAAATGGCATTAGAATCAACACCACTAAAGCCAACCCTATGACTGAGATACATAGATGACACCTTCATATGCTGGCCACACCAGGAAGACGTCCAGTTACTGCTAGACTTCCTGGATGTACTAATATCTTAAACAGAGCAGGGGTTTCAAGACATCCATATACCACAAGCCAACATTCACTGGACAATACCTCAACATCAAGCAAAAAGTCATAAGTAGTGACTCAGAAACATGCCAGCAAGAAATGATCAGTATAAGCAGTACCCTACAATGTAACAACTACCCTGGGTACATGTTAGCAGCTCCAACAAACTGGGATAGAAGGGTACAAGATGATTACAGTACACAGAAAACAATCTACCTACCCTATATGAAGGGATTATCGGAGAAAATACAAAGGAACTGTGGTCCATATAACATCAGGCCAAATTTCAAAAGTGGTTCAACACTTTGCAGACACCTCTTCCAAGTAAAACCCCCCTCACTGTCATAGAGGAGAACATGACTAAGAACTGTGTGTACACCATCCCATGCAGCTGTGGTAAGAAATACAAAGGAGAACCAGGTTGCACCCTTAAGGTAAGACTGCAAGATCATCATAAAGTGGTAACACAAGGGGATATGGAAAAATCAGGCATAGCTGACCACATATGGAGTGGAGGGGAAAAGGGTGATCACCACTCGCTGTGGGATGAGATTCAAATAATAAACAGAGAGCATCACTGGAAAATACAAAAGCTTAAGTAATCAGCACATATGCTAGGCCACAAAAATCTCTTGAGCCGACCAAGCATAGATATGAATGCAATATGGGAACCATTAATTAGGAGTGCTAGAGAAAAACAATGAATAACAACAAAAATTTCATGCAATAAAAATAACAGAAAAATTGCAATATGAGCACTGGTAAAAAAAAAAGGTTGCTGAGACATTATGTTTATAAGTCCCAAAGCTTGATGCACAGATGTCCTCAAGTCCCAAAGCTTGATGCACAGATGTCCTCAAGTCCCAAAGCTTGATGCACAGATGTCCTCAAGTCCCAAAAGCCCAAAGCTTGATGCACAGATGTCCTCAAGTCCCAAAGCTTGATGCACAGATGTCCTCAAGTCCCAAAGCTTGATGCACAGATGTCCTCAAGTCCCAAAGCTTGATGCACAGATGTCCTCAAGTCCCAAAGCTTGATGCACAGATGTCCTCAAGTCCC